CTGTGTGCTGAACTTGGGTCTAATGACAGAGATTTTGTGAACTGCTTTCACACTAGCAAGAATCTGACACAGTTTCTACATGGATCCCGTACTCTACATGGGTAGACGTTAAGGACCCAGGCTGTTCCTGGCGCACCCTAAGGCCAAAAAAAAAAGTCTCCGGTTTCTGGTATGGAGCTTGGCCAAAAAGTGGTGCCACCGACGCGGCTTTTAAAAAAAAAAGTACCGTTTTTTTCCTTCAAATGTCGGCTGATGACTGCAAATGGTGCCCGACTAAACTTAGTGCAAATACATGGGAGTTCAGAGAGGCCACATAAAGCTTATTCTCGATCGTAACCCCATCTAAAAACACGTTAAAATTGTGCAGCAGCAGGATTCCAGTCAAACCAGTGAGTTTGGCGGTTTTGAGACATCATCTTACATTGAAAAAAAAACTTTTTCATTTTACCATGGAGGAATACCGACACGCATGGCTACGGCGACGCGCGCGCATACCAGAGACTGGAGACTTTTTTATTTTTGGCCTAAGTTACAATTACACGTGTATGGTGGACATGTGTTAATTTCAACATGGGTAGACAAGACATTATAGGGTGAAAAGGCCTTTAGGGAACTTGATTCACTCTGAGGTCCTATTTTTTATGATTCTGGAAACAGAGATAATGCTGAAAGCCAACATTTCGAAATGTAAGGATGGTGTTCTGATAAACTGAAAACAAATCAGAGGTAACATTATCAATGTGGTTACGCCTTTAGGGAGGACCATATCTGAACAATACTTTGTTTCAGGATTTCCTGATTGTTTTTAGATCTGATGCGGGTAGCACAATGACATGTTGATGTTGATTAAATCGCTGAGACTTGAAACAAGTAATTTGAGCCAGAGAAGTTTCTTTTGTAATGCCCACATTGCAAAACAGACTTTAACTTAAGAACAGGCAAGTCAATGTAACAAAAGAAAGATATTTGTAAATTGGTAATCAAGTATGCATCCTTTACTTCTGGGTTTATTTTTTACTTAAAAAGCTACACCATGTTTTAATTAAAAGTACAGATGCTTTTTTTCAGTCTATAAATGACCAAATTATTTGGAATAGAATTAGAACCGCCTTATGTGTTCGTCAGTGACTGTGAGTCATTTGGTTTTGTTTGTTTTCTTGTTTTTCTCTTTTACGTGTTGGTTGACAACTTGATCTGACTGGAGGCATGGTGATCGACGATTAATTTGTCCGCAAAGGCAAATCTGTAACCTGAACTAGTAAACTATCCCCGTACACTCAGACATCAGACATCATGTAAAGAGTACACGTACATGACCGGATGTGCATCAGCCAATTTTAGTGTAATATTTCAATCTGTTCAAACTTATTTTACATTCTCTGATTATGAAAAGTATTACTTTTGTGCCCAATTAACCAACTGCATCCACGACCACTACGGAGTACTTCTTTATGCAATATTTTCTTTAATTTGTCAAAACTGCACAACACTGTTGGTCGTTCAGTTTCGGTGTCACTGCAAGCTTTACAGCGGCTGCATGATGTCAAAAGGTACACTAAGATGCTGTACAAGTTTTGTTGCTATCTGGCATTATCTACTGGGCAGCGCTGAATGGCTAAGTCATGGGCGTTGTCTAGAAACAAAAGGATTATTTCTGGAATGCAAACTAACCTGATTTATCAAGCCTAGTCAAGATTATGTCTGAGTCCAGGGTCAAAACTACAGACATGAAGGTATTTTTTGTGATCAGTAAGATTTAAAGCTGCATTTCAAACACTTATCTGTCCCATCAGGAAAACTGAACTTGTGAAATTAATTGTTACAAACGCGATGGAACATTTTGTGAAGTATGTTTAAATGTAGATTGATTTCATTAGTTACATACAATGTCGAAGAAAAAAACATTAAATATCTTAAATAAACACATTTTATTATTTTTTTCAGAACAAAATCTGCAATTTTTTTTAATAAACAAATGACACTACAGTTGTCTGAAATGTAAATGATGTAGGACTGTCACGTGTGCGATCACACAATATAAAAGTTTTTGTTTTGAGTTTTCACTTGTTTTTCTCAGAACCACTGAAACTCACAAATCAAACAGATTTGCTTTCAGAGGGTGTTACTGCAAAATTTACACTATTGGGAATACAGTATCCACTTAGTCTGCATGCATAAAAACAAATCATTCTTTTCCCGCCGATAAATTTATGATTGGATGGGGCTTGGGTTTCCATTTTGCCTTACGTTTTTCATCCCAGCACCTGGCAACACTGGTGATTTATTTATTTTGTTTAAAACACGGGCAGGGCGGATGAGTAGCTTACTCCAGCACGCTCATTTTCACTGCGCCATATTACAATTTGTGCCTGCAATTTTTAATTCGTGGAAAGGCCATCGATACATACTGAATGACGTCAGCAACTCATTACATTTAGGATTGAGAGAGCTAAAATCTCCCTTTTATTAGTGAGAAAAGTGGTTAGGGGTAGGGAGGGGGGCTGTTCAGTGTTTTTATTAAGTTTGAAGATTTGTTGTGAAATAATAAGGATTAGGACAGGAAGATGAAATACATGTGACGCTTCTCCCGTTGCTTGATTGTTACAGGTTCTATTAAAAGTGCAAATTATACCAGAAAATGTACATTTTTGCCAGGTAGTCTCTATACATGTCTCAAATTAAGCTTTCAAATTATGAGTTACTTATTGTAAAAGGGAAAATACAACATTTGCAAACATCAAAAAATAAAACTACCAAATCATTTTGAAACACCTTGCTGGACTGTTAGTGAATGACAGTGTAAAGCATCCTGTAAAATCATGGCACCTGGTATACTCAAGAAAAGTGGTATTTTTGTATCAATTTCCAACGCTGATCGGCCGACCAGCGTTGGAAAAAACTGGCTTTTTTTTTCAAATACTGGTCCCAGTTGACCATCGCACTTGTTTGCAATCGATTACACACCAATGAACGGGTACAAGCCAGCTAGACTGGTTCCCTGACCTTACAATTCCCCAATGTATGTAAACTGATCTGTTTTTTCTTAAATGGAGTCAGGAAACCAGACTACAGGAAATGATTGTTTTTCTTGGTTTTTAAAGCATTTTCGAACCCAAAACCTCAAAAAAGTCAGTGTACATGTAACTATATTTGCTATATATTTCCAACCCCCCAATTCCATCCATTTCTGAAAATTACAGCAAAAGCAAATGATGTATTCCCTTTAAGTACCGGTACAATATAATGCTTAGATGTGCCATCAGCAAATTTATGAAGTACTATTGGAAAATACCTCCAAAATTCAATTTGTTAAAATTGCAAGGACTCTTGCTGACATTCTGAGAACTTTCTAGCAAATTCCCCCAAAATAGCCCAAACCCACACGGGGTCACCGTTTGAAAGGGCAATGGTCAGCAAACCCCAGGGTTCAAATTAAGCACTCAAGCCGGACAATCAGACAACCTTCAAGTTTAAGCCTTCCTCTGCTGTTTAAGTGAAGTGAATATATTTATATACAGCCTGGCTCCATAGGTCTAGCCTTGTGGTTTATTTATCCTATGCTGTAAGTGGGATTATACATGTAGCTAAGATAAAATGACCCCATCATACCAAGTCCCTCCAATTTCACATCCCAACTGTAACATTATGCACCCCCCCCCTCCCCCACGGTAAAAAAAAATGCTAGCTTTGCCACTGCATGCATCCCATAAAATGTGGATATTACACACTGCAAAATATTTCTGGCTTGTAGGATGGGCTCTTTGTTCTTAAAAAAAAATATGACAAGTTATTATTTCTTTGTGGGAAGAACAAGACAAACAATACCCCCCCCCTTCCCCCATCTCATCCATAGTGAGGTGAATGCAATCAGAACAAACAAATTTTACAACCGAAAAAGCAGAAAACAGAATTGAAAAAAAAATATATCAGGCGATCCCAAAATGGGATGTGAAACTAAACTGCAGGGGGCTGTAAATACAAATTAACAAGACCATGACCTCTAGAGTCGGCATGTTACTCGAGCCTACCACACAGAGGTTTACATTTGTACATGTAGTTGGCTCCCCAAAAAGCTGTGCTACTCTATCACTGAATTTTTAAACATCATTCAGTAATTTGTGAACCAAAACACATCATTTTTCAGTGAGAAAATTCAAAATTTTGCTTCAAGAAAGAGTTTACCAGAGATGAGATTGGGAGAAATATAAAAAAATCAACAAAATATTTGGGCAGAGGACTTGAGGGTCACAGAGGGCCGCACAGAAACATGGAGTGAGTCTATGGCATATGTAATGTTTATATTTGCCTAAAAGCACTCCTTAAAACACCCATTTCTTTTGTTCTACATAAACTTGTAAACTTGAATTACACAAATTCCGTATTAATTTTTTTTTAATACTGAAATCAGGAAAAATCCTGAAAAAAAATCCTGAAACCAGGAAAAATCTTGACAAATATCTCACCCTGCTATTCAAAATGCACTCATAGACACTTCTTGGAGAAGTCCCCTGATTCCACCCTTGACCTTAAGAAAACTCACGTCATGACCTTACTATTAGAGGTGTACAGGTTGCTAGGGTTTCCAGCGCCAGAATTTCGTACCCCTGTCAACATTTTTGGGGGGTTGTCTCCTCCCTTGGGGACCTCTAGGCAATAAAGCAATTTAAAGGAAGGGTTGCCTGACCCTGGAGGGGTCAAAAGGTTGAGAGGTCAAATTCGTGGTGGTAGTTTTTAACAGCTAAGTAAAATCAATGAATTACAACTGGTGAAAAAAACTTCTTGAGCAGAATTCAGCCATGACTGTTGTAAAGGATCTGACAAGAAGAAGGCCATTTTTTCCCCAGCACTTCCTGACACAGAATGGAGATATTTCACCTTCAAAGTAAATTGCTGGGATAAAACCATGGTCTTTAGGGTAACTGGTTGCAGTTAAATTGAATTGATGACTCAAAAAGCTTTAGTGTGAAAATGTACAAAATCTGATTGAATGGTACACTTACCAATGTCTTCATCTTATCGACGTTGTCCTCCTCATTTAATTTTGCCAACACCTTCTCACTACTCAATACACTTTCTCCTAAAGAAAAGGAAGAACGATGGAGGTTCCTATTATATTAAGCCATACCATGGCAATTGAATAGCTATGTGACCCCAGGCCCAATTTCATAGCTGTTTTAAAATGGTCAACACTAAAATTGTGCCAACTACAGCTGAAAAGTCCTGCCAACAGTTGCAAGTACATTAAAGCTTTATATCGACACCATTTGCAAAAAACTGTGTTTTTTTCTGATTGAAGGAACCATACGATAGGCCAACTTATTAATAATTTCAACTGTTATAAAGTGAGTATTTAAGAAACCAAAAGGTGGGCGTGGACATCCAAGAAGTTTTTTACATCGGCTGGCTTATCTAGCTCCCTGATTAGGTTCTTGAAACTCAATGGTTCTAGAGTCTGGATGGTAACACATAGCAACCAATGAAAACTATTGTGCAAATGAGTACATGTAAATGTTTTCATTGGATGACATCAACCCCCCACCACCTGATCCCACGATTCAGAAAGCAAAATGTAATAGATTATTAAATTTCACCTCGAGTCTCAACCTGATCGCTTTTACATCAAACTTGTCAAGAAATACCTTTCAAATAAGAATCTCATTCAAATAATTTATCAGACTCTGAACTCCTTCACGACTTACCGGAGCCTCCCTCCCTGCTTCTCACAAAGAACGAGACATGGAGCACCCCATCCTTGAGGATCGGGGAAGGGCTGATGTAGATGATGTCTTCTGGCTTGATTGCCGAGGTCCCTCCGTCACTCTGACGCCTCCGACGTCTGTTACTAGTATTGAGCATTTGAGCAAGGAGCTGGCGGAATTTGACATCCAAATAGGACATCCAATACTCTCTCTATGGAGATGGATAATTGGATATAGGGTAATCGTGGATGAAAAATGAAAACTGGAAAATGGGAGAGATACTTCTTACTACTTACAGTTTAATGGGTAATTTTTTTAAGGCATAGCCTTTGTGACCCCATATCCTATTTTTGTTCTCTTCCAACGTGAGTCAAGCTCCTTCTTAAATGCTGACACAGTTCTAGCATTCACTACTTTCTGTGGGAGAGCATTCCATTCATTGACGATTCTTTGGGAGAGGTGTTTCCTACAGCTTCATATATTGCCTACTTTAAACTAACTCTAGCAGGGGTGACATAGGGGGAAATAACAAATCCTGGGCAAGTATAATTAGTTACATTTTGTTCTCCGTGAAAAGTAGTAGGCATTTCTTTGTTGTTATGAATGGAAATAGACAAACTACTAAATATAGGGTGAATAAAAAAAAACCCGAAACTGCGATATTAATGCTAATTCGAGCAGAAGTAGGGCACATGTGAATCAAAGGGAGATATCCTCTGTTGGGGTTGAATCTCCTCTTTAAAATGACACCCTGATCATGTCCTTACATTCACGGTTGACTGCGCAGTGACCAATTTTATGAAAGGGTCTATTTAGAGAATTGCGCCACTTTTCAATTGTGGTTTTTGTGGTGTCATTTGTCACAGAGTGAAAGGCTATGGTTGCCAATCAAGGCAGGTGAGGAAAAAAAGAGATATCACCATGAAAAGTGGCGCAATTCTCTAAAAAGACCCTTTCATAAAATTGGTCACTGCTCAGTCGACCGTGAATGTAATGACATGATCAGGGTTTTAATTTTAAGAGGAGATTCAACCCTATCAGAGAATATCTCCCTTTGATTCTCATGTGCCCTACTTCTGTTCCAATTAGCAATAATATTTCGGTTTCGGTTTTTTTTATCCACCCTGTATAGTTGCCACTTGCAAAAGAGCAATCTAAACAGTTTTACTTTATTTCATCAACTAAAGCCAGAACCAAATAACTGCCATCTTTTAAGAAACCTAGAGAATCTTGTGTAAGCTAGAAATATGTACATGTCCATATGTATCTGTACATTATAAAGTGCAATGAAAGACAAGTGCATGTAGTTGTTTTGTATCTCCCAATGCAAACAAACCAAAATATGAATTTAAAAGTTGCTTAATTAAGTTTAATTACTTAATTTGGTAACCATTCCTACTCACCGTAATATCCTTATTTAACTCCAGAGTAACTGCTTCACTTTTCTCCTTCTCAGTTAATGATGACAATGGCTTAAACTCAGGTTTTGATGGCTTCAAGGTTGGTTTTTCGGTTGTAACTGCTGCAGGTGCTTGAGTAGTTGTTGCAAGTGCTGGAGTTGTAACTGCTTCAGGTGCTTGAGTTGATGCTGCTTCAGGTGCTTGAGTTGATGCTATTGCAGGTGCTTGAGTTGTTGCTGCTGCAAGTGCTGGAGTTGTAACTGCTTCAGGTGTTCGACTTGTTGCTGCCGCAGGTGTTTGAGTTGTTGCTACTGCAGGTGCTTGAGTTATTGCTGTTACTGGTGCTTGAGTGGTTGCTGTTGCTGGTGCTTGAGTAGTAACTGCTGCAGGTGCTTGAGTTGTTGCTGTTGCTGGGGTTGTGGCTGTTGCTGGTGCTTGAGTTGCTGTTGTAGCTGGTACTTCAGTTGTATCAGCTGCAGGTGCTTGAGTCGTTGCTGTTGCTGGTGCTTGAGTTATTGCTGCAGCAGGTGCTTGAGTTGTTGCTGTTACTGGTGCTTGAGTGGTTTCTGTTGCTGGTGCTTGAGTAGTAACTGCTGCAGGTGCTTGAGTTGTTGCTGTTGCTGGGGTTGTTGCTGTTGCTGGTGCTTGAGTTGCTGTTGTAGCTGGTACTTCAGTTGTATCAGCTGCAGGTGCTTGAGTTGTTGCTGTTGCTGGTGCTTGAGTTGTTGCTGTTGCTGGTGCTTGAGTTGTTGCTGTTGCTGGTGCTTGAGTTGTTGCTGCTGCAGGTGCTTGAGTTGTTGCTGTTACTGGTGCTTGAGTGGTTGCTGTTGCTGGTGCTTGAGTAGTAACTGCTGCAGGTGCTTGAGTTGTTGCTGTTGCTGGGGTTGTGGCTGTTGCTGGTGCTTGAGTTGCTGTTGTAGCTGGTACTTCAGTTGTATCAGCTGCAGGTGCTTGAGTTGATGCTGTTGCTGGTGCTTGAGTTGTTGCTGTTGCTGGTGCTTGAGTTGTTGCTGGTGCTTGAGTTGTTGCTATTGCTGTTGCCTGAGTTGTAACAGCATCAGGTGCTAGAGTTGTTATGGCTGCAGGTGCTTGAGTTGTAGCTTGAGTTTTAGCTGAGTCAGGTGCTCGAGTTGTTACAGTTTCTGCTGAAACAACTGTTCCTGTTGCAGGCTCTTGAGTTGTAACAGGTAGATCTTGGGTAACTACTGTAAAAGCACCTGTTGCAGATGTGACTGGCAATGGTGTACTCTGTCGAGCTTCTGAATCAGGTCCTAGGACAGTATCTGCCACAGTACTTCCGATGATGGATGTTTCGGTCGCAAGTGCTTGAGTTGTTACCGCTGCAGGAGCTTCAGTTGTAACTACTGCAGGTGCTGGAGTTGTAATTGCAGCTTGAGTTGTTGCTGTTGCTGTTGCCTGAGTTGTAACTGCTGCAGGTGCTTGAGTTGTTGCTGTTGCTGGGGTTGTGGCTGTTGCTGGTGCTTGAGTTGCTGTTGTAGCTGGTACTTCAGTTGTATCAGCTGCAGGTGCTTGAGTTGTTGCTGTTGCTGGTGCTTGAGTTGTTGCTGCTGCAGGTGCTTGAGTTGTTGCTGTTACTGGTGCTTGAGTGGTTGCTGCTGCAGGTGCTTGAGTTGTTGCTGTTACTGGTGCTTGAGTGGTTGCTGTTGCTGGTGCTTGAGTAGTAACTGCTGCAGTTGCTTGAGTTGTTGCTGTTGCTGGGGTTGTTGCTGTTGCTGGTGCTTGAGTTGCTGTTGCAGCTGGTACTTCAGTTGTATCAGCTGCAGGTGCTTCAGTTGTTGCTGTTGCTGTTGCTGGTGCTTGAGTTGTTGCTGCTGTTGTTGCTGGGGTTGTGGCTGTGGCTGTTGCTTGTGCTTGAGTTGCTGTTGTAGCTGGTACTTGAGTTGTATCAGCTGCAGGTGCTGGAGTTGTTGATGTTGCTTGAGTTGTTGCTGTTGCTTGAGTTGCTGCTGCTGCTTGAGTTGCTGTTGTAGCTGGTACTTGAGTTGTATCAGCTGCAGGTGCAGTTGTTGCTGTTCCTGGTACGTGTGTTGTTGCTGTTGCTGGTGCTTGAGCTGTTGCTGTTGCTGGTGCTTGAGTTGTTGCTGTTGTTGTTGCTGGGCTTGTGGCTGTGGCTGTGGCTGGTGCTTGAGTTGCTGTTGTAGCTGGTACTTGAGTTGTATCAGCTGCAGGTGCTGGAGTTGTTGCTGTTGCTGGTGCTTGAGTTGCTGCTGCTGCTGCTTGAGTTGCTGTTGTAGCTGGTACTTGAGTTGTATCAGCTGCAGGTGCAGTTGTTGCTGTTCCTGGTACGTGTGTTGTTGCTGTTGCTGGTGCTTGAGTTGCTGCTGTTGCTGGTGCTTGAGTTGTATCTGATTCAGGTGCTGGAGTTGCTGCTTCAGGTGTCAGAGTTGCAACTGCTTCAGGTACCATTGTTGTTTCTGCTGTAGGTTTTTGAGTTGTAGTCGCAGCCACTTCCATTACAGCAGTACTCGCAGGAGCTACTGCAGTGTGGGTCATGGGTGATGGTGTTCCTGCTGCAGTGACTGCTGCTGTACTTTGCATTGGCTGTTGTGTTGTTTGAGCGGCAGGTGATTCCTCTGAACTACCTGTGGTCTCCTGTCTGATGTCAGTTGAGGTGACGATTTGTGTCACAGTTGTTACTATTAAGGTAGATTTTGCAGTGCCAAATGGCTCTGTAGCCTGTTGTGCTGTTGTGTCAACTGCCACTGTGTCGCCTGTGTCGCCTGCCACAACTTCATTTGTGGGTTCTACATAGGTTGTCCCATCACTGTTTGTCGTGGCTTGAGCAGTATCCAATGCTATTAACGGTATTTCACTTGGAACGAACCCTGTTGCTGGTACTACTGTAGTCATACCAGAGGTTGCTGCAGACGTTGATTGTCCAACCACATTTGAAAAGTTCATCATTTGGAGAAGCAAGAGAAGATACAATACTGGAGGACAAATAAAACCAAAAAATATATAAATAATTTAGTTTACACACAGTTCAATGAGTTCATACTAATACTATTTCAAACTCTGAAATAACATCCAAAGAAAAATACTTTAGAATACCACTATAACGAACATGACATTGGCTATGTAAGGCCAAAAAAAAAAATAAGTCGGTCTCTGGTCAGCGCGCGCGTCGATTTTAATCATGCGCGTCGATCTTTTTTTTTTTCAAAATGTTCCGCGGTAGCTCCAACAGCGCCCTCTATTTCCGCACCTCCTCATTTTTTTTTACCAAAGAGCACCAAGGAATGGGAAATTGCACCAAGGCAAATGATCGAAAGCACCAACGCAAATTATGGAGGACACCAATGTACATTAGGACACCAAAAAAGCAAAATAGTACCCACCTTGTCTGTACAATCCAAGCTTGAAGAAGAAAAAAAAAAAAAAAAAAAAAAAAAAAAGCCGCGTGGCCGTGTCAATTCCGGAACTTTGGTCTGACCAGAGACCGAATATTTTTTTTTTTGGCCTAATGAACAATGTCTTAAGCACCCAAACGTTATTTACCACTATATTTATGTACAGAGCATTACTGGATTCAAATTATAGCAAACAATGACCGCTATGCTGACCAATCTTTAATGGACCAAATTCTTCAAATGGTGGGAGAAAGTAGAAATTTCCAAATCCGGATCTTAATTTTTTTCCAAACCAAATAATGGTTTCTCTGATTTGACCAAAAGTTCCCATTCAGCTCACAGTCGTGCCAACAAATAATAACGAGTGAGGTGCCACATGTATAATGCCCTCCAGAGCTGTAATGGTAGGGGAAAAAATGGGTGGGAACCCTCTGCTACGGTATTCATGAGCTAAGACCACCAGTGAATGGATAACGCAATCAGAGACCATGGAGCAAATGGGGGGATGTTCCAGTTGTTTTCTTTAGCCTGTGTCACAAAAAATGCAAGGCTTAATTTTCTTAAATTTAGTTTTGAATATCCCGTTTTCAAAATCCTAACCGAAAAGTGAAATTCAAATCGAATTAAAAAAAATCCTGATATTAATCCCACCACTTTAATTCATTCAATGCTTAAGCGAAATTCTACTGTATAAATCTTTCAAAATCTTTACTTTCCAAATTTTGTATTCATTTCTGAAGGGTAACCATATTCATTGAAATATGGACAGGTGTAATAGACCAATCCATTACACTCCGCCCACTGCAAACATAGGAAACAATTAACACATGTACAGTACCTCTCCAGTATCACACCGTATGTTCTAGCCATGACACACGCGCATGCATGTCTGACTTTTGTGCACTTGTTCAGACATTTAGTTATGGCTGTGATTGGTCAAAAAAACAGCAGAATCAGTATATTGACTTAGCAAACCTGTTTACAGCTGACTTCACCCTCATTCATGAGTGACAGTTAACTAAACACTGTTTCTCCACGATTACACCGTTTACACTGTTCAGTGGTTCAGCAGTAATTGAAGAATTCCATTAAGCAACTACATGTCTATGACTGGTGGTAAGTCAAGGGCCCAATTTCAAAGATCTGCTAACCACAGAATTCTGGTGCTTAAGATCACCATTCTGCACTATCCATGCTTGCAGTTGCACAAAATTTCTGCATGCCCTTAAGTATGCTAATTGTGTGCAAGGAGTTTTCTGTTATGAACAGCAAGCAGGGATTTTGCACTGATGGTAGCAGACCAAGAAAATGCACCCTAGACTACAAATCTGAATCGTTATATGTAAAAATAGAAAAATAACGAGCCATGTCCTCAATTCCCCCCCCCCCCTTTAATTTTGGTATTGGCATATATATATATCTACTTTGATGAATGTATTAAATCACTTGCTTTGCGCCTTCTAAATTCTTCATTTCACGGGCTTCGCACGTCACGCCATTCTGTTCATGGCCGAAGATGCAGCAACACTCTTGTTTGTTTTCTCTCTTTGCCATTTTACAGGCTGTATGACATTCCTATTCTAAATGTTATTATTTTGAGGCCAACTACGGTTGTGTTGCAATTCATTTATATTTCCTATTTAATTTTTTAAGGATTTCGTTATATTTTGAAGAAGTTGTGGATTTTCTTTCTATTTCAGCATTACCGTAATTGTGGACGGATCAAGAAGCTTAGATCATGAAAATCTTTGTTATCTGTAAATAATATTTTCCCATTCTTTGACATCCATGATTTTGCAAAGATGGTAAATACTTAACCCATTATGTAATGGTTTGTATATTTTTTTAATGCTTGTACATTTTCAATTATAATTTAATTATTCTGTTCATGTACATGTATGATTATTTTCTCTCTTTGCCATTTTACAGAGAACAAATCAGAGCCAATCCCCATACTTCTTGACCTCAGAAACAACCAGGGTAATTTGTTATACAATCATGGAGCTATAGCTCCATGCTACAATCCTATCAGGTAGATTTGTTGAGGGACAAGTTGTCAATTTTGTTTCCTATTTGACAATCTTGAGTAAACATTATGAATCAATGAAGATTATGAAAACAAATATTTTTTTTCGTTGCATCAATTATCAAATAATTTCAGTCAAGATGCCACACTGCTTGTTGGGGAGTTGTCAGTTGTATTAGAGTCAATAAACAAGCTGAGATGTAAATAAAGTTATTGGATGGAGTTTAGATTGTGTAAGGTTGGGAATGCATTAAACAAACACTGCATCAAGTGGACTAGCAACTTGGCCAAGTGTAACATAACTGGAGCAGGCATAGAGCTATATTAAATTACTAGAGCGCTAACTCCTTATTCTTACGCGCGGAGATACTATTAAGGGTGCAGACCAGTAAATCGGTCCGAAATTGCCTACGCCGGCCAAATCACGATTTGCATGCCCTCAAAATCTTCAGTATTTGAGCATGCTGTGGGCCATGAACTTGAGGGTTTGTAAAAAATATGGGTGGAAGCCGTGCACAGGACTGAGAGCTTGCAGTTCTGTGTAATTTGGATGTAATTTGGACCCTAAAAGCGCTCTATTTTGCAATGGAGTGTAGGCATCGTTTTTCAAAATGGCGATGGGCTTCAGGACTATTTTCAGGGGTGATCATCTTCAGATGGAAATTTCTCCTAAAAGTCATCAGTTGACCCCCCGAAAATTGAAAAGAAAATAAAAGATGATGAAATTAGCTTTAATTTGATGTGTGTCTCGAACATCTTGGAGAGTTGTGAGTATTTTTCCCGAATTTTTGAAGTGGGAGCATTTACCATTGGGGTCTATGGAAGTTTATTTACTGGTCTGCTACCTTAATACTTCCTGCGGGCAGACATTTTGAATTTAGTCATGTGCATAAATATTTGTAGAACATAACGATATTAGATAATTTTCAAAGTATCCTTTAATTTCTAAATGCAACGCGCAAGTACAGCATACGCAAACAACTAAAGCGCATCATGACGGTAAAAAAACGTCTTGGCAAAAATCATCAGCAATGCATACACGCACGCATTTGCATTGTTTGCACAGAACAAAATAAGATGTTTATTACTGATTGTGCGCTTTCAGTTTTAGGGGAATCTGCTTCAATAACGCACTTGTGTCGAATACAAATGCAGATATGCAAATAGTCATACAAAAGCCGTACACAATTTAGAGTTTTCCATTGGTTTGTGCACAAAAACGGATGCGTCCAACCAACAGGCATCACTTTAATTGTACATCAAGTCAGCGCTCTCATAATTTAATATAGCTCTACGGGTGCAGTTAACTTGGTGGGTGGGGGCCAGTGCAAAGGCAGGGCGTAATTATAAGGATTATCTAATTAGTGATTACACCATACCATGGAGATGGGAAAAGTACATGTACCTTCTTTTTTGTGTCAATTTTAATTCTGAACAGTCTCAAGATTATTCAATTTCACAAGTAGCTAATGCAGGCACATTTGACTGTACCTTGAATGAATATATATGGCAATACATAAAATACATTAATCAACACAGGTACGGTAGGCCCTATCTTTTTGCCATCACTTCAATTTTGAACCTATTAAGTGACAAAAATGGGTATTAGTTTAACAATTCCATCATGACTCACCTCATAATTTATTTCAAAAATGAATGGCTTTTAGAGATATTTCATTTAAAGTCTGGAGCAAAACTGTTTCAAAGATCTTGTTCAGCTGTTTTCGGTTGAAAATTTATTTCATGAAATACTCAAACAGAGTTCTATATCTACTGTAAATGTTACAAAACTAATTTGACGGTCTAATAAGTGATTTTTTTTCATTAAATCAACATATCATTGGGTCATATTAATATAAAATGTTTTCTTTTTCAACAAAAACTTCTCTCTTTTTTTGCAGACAAAAATCTAGAAATAACAGTAGTAAGTACCGAATAATTATAGTACAATAAAAGTAGGAAGTACCGGTACAGCAGGTTAACAATTTTGCAACTCAACATCTTCCCCCAAAAATAATCAAATTGTTCAAAAATATTACTCAGAAATATTATGTAGAAACATTCTTTTTAAAAAGGCGAAAATATATTATCCAATAAAATCAACGCTCCTTCATTACAATAAAAAAAATTAATGCCAAAATAGTCAAGGTCACTTGATTGGTGACAGTACAAACCGGTACATGTTCACTAAATGAAACCATACACACAACATTATGCAGAACTCAAGTCTACACTTCCCTCAGGACAACGAGCAGATATCTGTTCTGTAAAATGAAGATTTACGACTCGAAACCCCACGATGAACATTTAGTGCCAGCATAAAGCTACAAGAAGGACTAGTCACAGCATGCAAAATGACAACAGGTTGTAGTTGAAACACAGGCCATGATTTTACAAGGATGGAATACTCCTATATTTGGATTTTGCTAGAATTTGATGGTTAAACGATGGAGGAAAGAACACATAGTTAATAAATAAACTCATTTGACTTTGAGTGGTTCCAATCCAATACTAAATGGTTCAACCTAGTTTACTCAATGTTTTTGGATACATC